TGAACCAGTAACCCAAATACTGAGATTGAGCTTACATGTAAGGAATGAGCTGGGATAAAGAAAAACATGCAGGTCAAGAGTTTAGATTACAAAAGTTTGTTCACCCATTTATTCCAGCAGGTCCTAAACTGCCAAGTCTCTAACCATCTCTACCCTTCGTTCCATGAACAAAGTCTTATACACATTCCATGAATCCTGACCTTTTAGTCAATATAGCACAAGGATTTCAATATTTTGTAAAGGAATGGTTCACTAGGAGGAACCTTTAAATAAGTCTTATTTGCCTAATTAAAACACACCAGGATTTGCCTAGTTTTCTCATTTAGGTGGGAGGTTGGTAGTGACAAAATTTCCTTTTAAAAGGGGGGTTTTGCAAATTAAATTTGAATTTATATGATTGCAGATATGGAGTCTGATAGGGCTGCTTTTAAATTGTCCAATTTTAACTGCTTATCATATTTAAATCGCCCAATTAATTACAAATTATCTATTTAATTTCAAAGGATAAAGCTTTGGGGGAAATTTCAATTTAACTTGAAGTGATTTGTTTCTCAGGTTGCTGAAAACGATGACATTCCAGAAAAGTGGACTTAATCCATGGTCGTGAAATGCTGTTTTTGTTTTGGTAAACGTTTAAAAAAAAAAAAGAAAAAGAAAAAAAAAAAAAAGAAAACCGTTTACATATGTTGTATGTATACACACCAAAAATCCCCAAATAAAATAAAACCCAGGATGATCCCTCCTAGGCATACGTGAGTTAAACTCAAATTCTGACTGAGTAATGACAATGGAGATTTCCCCTAACATTTAGAAAGACTTTTCTAATGCAGAGGAAAAAGTATACCATGGTATCAAATATTCTTTTCTGATAAAGAAAGCAACTACAGAAAGCTTTTGTTCAAAGTAACCAGTGTTATAGATGCAAAACCACCCCCCAACAACTCCCCCAATACTACTTCAAAACAAACATGTCAAACTTGATTTTCATTAGAATGTAGTTATTTCTTCACACTAATATATAAATATATATAAAAAGCAATGCAAACAATTATTGGGCTTCGTCTTCCGGACAAGAATGCCAAGTTAGTCTCTCTTCATAAAAAGCAATTACAATTTGAGGACACTTCATATTTGCCTCTTTTGCCAGCACCAAATCTGCCTCATCTGAATCTTTCCTGTTGTGAGGAAAAAGAAAAAAAATTCAGTTAATAGTCTTAACCCTTTTTGTCAACTGAGCATTGTTCATTTAAGAAATCTTAATTTAACCAAAGGTTACTTAAGTGCTTTAGGAGGGTTATGTGCCACTTGTGCTGGTATTTCAATAAAAGTTCATTTTATAAAACAGGCCAGTTTGCCAGTCTTTGCTTTGAAATATCATTAGCAAAAGTAACTAGAATCATCCTTTCAGCAGATTATTCTCTATGATGGAAACTATTTATAAAACCTTTTCTAGATAAAGCCTCACAAATTTTTAAAAAACATGCCCATCAATTCGTACTTTATAACGTTAACAGCCATCGCCCATACACTTACCACTTCATGAGGAACATTAATTCTCCACTGCTGTCTGTGGCACCAATTATTCGTTCAGGATCAAGACCTCTGGCAAAGCCTCTTGGTTTGTCAGCCTGTTGAGAGGTTAAATGATTACTACATGAACGTTTCCATTCATTTTTCCAAACAGCAAACGAATATAGTAAGTTCCAATTTTTCTTCATATGTAGCTTTTAAATAAAAACCTTCTAATAGTGAAACAGAAATGACTAAAGCAGAGCCCATATTTAGTACTACAACACATCTTAATTTCCGTTAACCTTAAATGCAGAAAAAAACAAACCTGGATATCTAAAAGTATTCTGAATCATAAGAGACAAATTAATCCCTTTATTTCTGGTAACTGTAATCAATTAATAATTATAAATCTTTGAAAACTAACATTTCAAATTACTTCCAGGAATTAGTCTAAATTACCCACAAATTTAAAGCACATGCAAAAACACAAACAATAAAATAGTAAAAACTTTAAAACTCAGACTAATCAGTATTATAATCAATTTGAATTACAGAAAACCTTATAAAATACTTAGTATAAACCAGCAATTCTCAAAGTATGGTCTTTTAGGACTCCCGGGAATCCCTGGGATCTTTTGGGAGTGTCTATTATCTGTAAGGTTCCCTCTTTTCATGTATGTGACTTTAGATTACCTTCATATACTTTCACCAAACACAACACAACAAATCAAATATAAAGTGTCTTCTATTAAGCCCAGACACTGGAAAGATTTGCAAAACTGTAAAATGCCATTCTTCACACTTTTTCATGAAAAGTTATGAATAAAAACAGGTTTTGCCATTCTTAGCTCAATACACAAATATCTTAGAAATTTCTATTTTAACTACTACAGTTATTGATAGGTATAACCCATATAAACAAAAGTTATTTGTTACCCTCAATAATGTTCTGGAGACTAAAAAAGTTTAAGTACTGGTTAGATCAGCAAATCCTTTCTCCCTACTGGCCTTTTACATCAATATCCAAGGCTCTGGAGTCAGATTACCTGGGGTGGTTAGAACGATGGTTCTAACCTTTACTAGCTGTGTAGCTCTGGGCAAGTTAACCTCTTTGTCGTTCCTATTTTATTCCTATCTATAAAATAGGAATAATTATACTATCTCTCAGACATTTCACAGTATCTGAAATGCAAATTAAGTTATTATTTAGAATACTCCTTGGCACAATGTAAGGGCTAAATACAGGATAACTCAATAACTATTGTTATTGCTTCAGTTGAGCATGTGGCTGACTTTTAAATTATGTACAGCAGGCCCCCCTATCTGCAGAGTATACATTCCAAGACCCCCAGTGAATGCCTGAAACTGCAGATAGCACTAGACCCTAAAATTTTTTTTCCCTATACATACATACCTATAATAAAGTTTAACTTATAAACTGGGCACAGTAAGAGATAAACTAATTATAGAACAATTACAACAATATATAAGTTACATGAATATGGTGTCTCTCTCAAAATATTTTGTGATGTGAGATAAAATGCCTATGTGATGAGATGAAAGACGTAGGCATTATGATGTAGCATCAGGCTACTATTGACCTTCTGATGATACCTCAGAAGGAGTATCATCTGTTTCCGGTGATCCTGGATCATTGAGCCACGATGATGTCGATGGCTGGATGTCAGGAACAGACAATGTCGAAGGTTGGGGAAATTTAGTATTTTCAGACCTCAGTTGACCACAGGTAACTGAAACCATGGATATGAAGGGATTACTGTATACTGATTCTTAACACTGTTTTGCTTTGGCTGCTAAAGCATCCAGAACCAAATTTGTAGCCAACCTGTTTCTCATCTGTAAAATGGGGATAATACCTATAATCTTAACAGAGATGTCATGAAGATTTAATGGACTATCTGTAAAAGTACTTGCCATCTAGTTCAAATGATCAAATTTTAAATTCAAAGACATTATCAATCAATATCTCTATTGTATGTTTATTCCCCAAGCCTAGATACTAATTCAGGACAAAGACCCTTTCCCAAATTGCCATTCTAGGCCAGTAGGCAGGTCAAGTATAATTTGTTTTGAAGTTGAGGGTGGAAGCAAGGCATTATGAGATTTGCCCAAAGCCACAGAGACACCAGTGAAGCAAAGACCAGATCAAAATACACATGTAGTGAATAAACCAACTGACTCAATTCATGCTGATAAAACATAAAAACAATGTATTATCAAAGACTATATACTTCAAAATCAACATATTGTTTGTCAATACTTTGATGATACAAATATCACATGCCAAAGTACTTTCTGGTGGTCAACGCCACTAATTATCTACAACTGGGAAGTGCTATGTGGATTTTTGCTGTATTACAAGAGATTTCTATCATGCAATGATAGTTTTCTTTGTACTTACGACTGCTAGTCTTGGATCACAGAAAATTGTGTGATTGGGGACCATATCCATGAATCTACCCAAAATAACACTAGCACACCACTTTAAGTGGTATAAGCACTTAACTGTACATTTATAAAATACAAGCTAAAACCATGCCTATCCTTTTTCCCAAGTATTGTCTCAAATATCAAGCATTTAGAAAAGGCTTTTAAAGTATCCTAAAAATATTTAAAAAGTCAAGCAATCAACCTTTTACAAAAAGTCAGTTTAGTGGGTAATATTTTATACTTACAGCATCTCTTTTCTTCTTTGATTTGCTATCATCAGACTCACTGTCGGATAAAGATTTTCTTTTTGTACCATCTTTTTCTTTACCAGCTTTTTGAGAATTTAGAAATGCTTCAATTAACTCTGGACAATCTAAATTTTCTTCAGGTTCCCAAGTATTGTCAGCACTGTGTTCAGTTAAAAAAAAAGGTTCATTGTATTAAACATGATTCATCACCATAATTCAGATCCATTTCATATCTGAAAAAGTTCTCTGTACTACAGATGGTAACCATTTCCTCCTTATCCCTCACGTTCTTTTGAAACAACCTGATCATACTTCTCTTTGTGTCTTCTTTCACAGCCCCTACCCTACCTAAGGGGGAAATCTGCTATTATCACCTCTAAGTTAACTGAACCTGACTCTAGCAGAATTAGAGTTAATATTTTTCCAAGTTATAGAGAAAATACACTTCAGAATTTCCCTGAAACAGCTTTTTTAAAATGTGGATTCCCATCCCCAAATTACGTTACCAGGGCAATCGGAATATGCCTTTGGTTGGGGCCTCTAATACTATGTTTTAAAACATAGTTTTGAGGCATTTTCAAACATGTGACATTACTTTCAATTTCTGCTCAGTGCTCAAATTGGGAAATGATGTAAAACTGATGCTGGCAACTCAAAAGTTGAATCCCACCGTTTATAGTAAGAATGTTTTTTACATTTTTAATTGGTTGAGAAAATTTCAAAATGAAAATTATAAAATTCCTATTTCAGGGCCCACAAACACAGTGTTATCAGAACACAGCCATGCTCATTTGTTTAACATATTGACTATTGTTGCTTTGTACTACATTTGTAGAGACCTATGAACCACAAAGCCTATTTATTTACTGTATTGTTTTTACGGAAAAAATTTGCCAAACTCTGATACAAGACTGAGATGACCACTCCCATGTATTTTTCAGAAAGGCTGTAAAGAAAATAAGTATCAATTACCAAATGTGAAAGTAAGATCATCCTTCATTAGTGATAGGCTTACTAACTTTGTGTGCTCAGATCCAAACAGCCTTTACACAAGATAAAATGACTAATCATTTTAGAGGTGCTGGGAAAGCTGCTATTAACTGCTGGTTAGAACTTGGTCTGTTGATATTCTGAGATCCAAAATTGGCAAACCTATATTAGAGGGTGGCAGACAAAAGAGCTGAAGTGAAGCCTCCATCCATCCAGTAGTGTTATTTTCATTAGAGCTTTCTATATTACCTAATACATTACACTGAACATAGTGAGCTCTCTTAATCATACTAGTGGCCTTAAGTTTGGGGAGGAAAAAAAGGAGAAGAGGAGTTAAAGTCCTAAAGTTTTAATAGGTAGGACATAAAGACAGCTTTTACTGTCTCATGTGATAAAAAACCAACCAACTAGCAACAACAAAAATCAACTGAATACCACATGAAGGTTAGCAATTCTTTGGCAAACTGGTTCAATCTAATTGAGTGGTGGGGGAAGTGGTAGGTAACAGGTATCTGAAGCCTAATTATTTGAGCATCATACTCCCCATTTCCACCATACTCAGAAATTTTTGTCGATCCCTCCCTATCCATTTTCAATAGTTGCCATCTGTGGAGCTTTGCTGTTTTTGTGGTGTAAGGCAGAATAATCCCAACAGATTAGCACATTATAAACATAAGAGTATAATTTCTGCATATAAGTTATTCACAAGACAGCTAACGTTATAGAATGGTTATGAGAACAATTAATAACAAGGAACAAGAGGAACCAGAGAGCATAAAAAATGCTCAAACTCTACTTCTTAGAGATTAAGATATAGTAAGCTTAGTATAAGACCGGATCATAACGAGCACTCCTGTTAAAGATCCACCGGTCTGTGTTATAGAGGTTCTATGTCTTTTAGTGCCTTCTGTATGTAGGGTTGTAGATTAAATATTTAAATTAGAGCAATATATAACTACATTAAAATGTATTACCCAATAAATTCTACTAATTCTATAAATTTGACTCTTCAAGGTAATCAACTAGTCTGAACTCTGCTTGGTTGCCAACTGTAGGTTAAAGACTGGTTCTTTTTAAACAGATCTCAAACAAGCTACCTTAGATTAAAGATATCTTTAAATTTAAAGAAACCTATTAGAAAACTGAAAAAAGACTTTAAGCTAAAAACAATTTAAAATGCCACATAAATGCAATTAAATACATAATAAAAGCATTGAGGTTTCTTACTCTGTGAACCCCTTCCACTTCAGGAAATATTCCACCTTCCCATTCACGACGCGTCGGTCCAGTACTTTTTCCACCACAAATTCTTCAGGCTCTGCCTCTTCGACTTTTTTACTTTTTCCATTTTGCTTCTTTCCCATTTTTTGCTAAAAACGAAAGGGAATTAAACATCTTTTCTATTTTATTTTTGAGTACATTTAAAATACTAAATTGCTTATGTTATTGTTGCATTAGACATCTATAAATTTTTACTTTTTTTATCCCAGGATAGACACCTCCTAAAAAGATAAAAGTCAACAAGTAATAAAATAAAGGAATGCTTAATTCTGTTGGCTTAGCTTAAACTCATCACCCGCCACCCATCATTGAAATAATACAATCGAAAACATTATGTAAAAAATACTGTTGTCTTATTTGCACGTGGTCTATCTACAACAACTTTTTTAGATTTTTTATTCATTTTAATGACAACACAGCCACAACTAGAAAGTATTAGAGAATGACACAGAAGAGAATAAGTAGCAGTGACAGGTCTTACTAATTGAACCACAGACCTGTTAAAACTAGTTCCTAAACATAATACCTGCTTTGCCGATTCAAACACCAATGTTAGAAATCTCAATATAGAAAAAAGGTAACTGTTAAGAATAAAAACAAAAACATAGTTCAGAATCCTGATATCAATAGCAGGATCAACGAAGGAAACCATGAATAGGTTAAAAAAAAAAGAAAGACTATTTTTCCATAATCTCTGCTGGTTAATATTACTGTCCATGTGGAACAAATCTATAATGCTGTCATTTCAAGAAGCCAAAATGCTGGATCATTTTAATTCTGTGAAAAAATCCTATCCTTTTGGTTTCGTAAGAGTCTAAACTGGTAGACAACAAAATTCACTTTGAACAAGTTTTAACTTAGTTTTTTTAATTGTAAAAAACTATATTTGAGAAAAGCAGGAGTCCAAGCTCAACCAGCTATTTTCCAATAACTCAGATTTGTTACAAAAGGACTAAAAATGGATGTTAAGTAAAAATCAAACTGGTCAATTAGAAGAGACTAAGGGGGGGAATCCCAAATGTTATGCTTATTTCATTATCATTTCATCCTAAAGCAGGTACTATTAAAAAAAAATCTTAATTGTGTAGTCACCAAAGTCATCCCCAAACAGAGCATACAAGCAGAAAAAGGTAACAGCAATGCCATAAGATTGCAAAAGGACAATAAAACCATGTAATCATTAAAGGTATGTGCATACATATATAAGAAATAAAAGAACTCTGGAAATTTTAAAAAGATGCAGCAAATGTCTGACTTTGTTGGATACCATTGCCAAGTCAAGCTTTACAATTTTCACTAGTTAAAATACTTGGATACTGCAACCTGTCAGACAGCTTTCTGCTTCTGTATAGTATAAGGAAGGTAAGAATAGCAGTGGGAAGAGTGAGAAATACTGGTGTGGACAAAAGCTTATCAGATACTCATCCTAAATGATAAACAAAAGTGCTATGTCCATGAAGGTAAGAGGTTAACAGAATAAAAATGACAAAAACACAGAAAATTAAAAGGATAAACCCTAAAAAAAAAAAAGTATAAAAAAATGAAGTATTTACTATAATAGCATTCTTAAGCTAACTTCAAGTGCTATTTTTTTAAAAGGAAAATTCACCTACTTTTGCATTTAAGTTATGGCACACATCTGACACTATTTTAAAATAAAAAGTTAGATTAAAGTACTTGTGTACAAAAGCAATTAATTTCAATAGAAGAATCTATTTACTTTTAGTATATTTATCCTCAAAGCATTAGGCACAGGTAGTTCTTTTCTCAGCCACTATTTGGACACAGATGACTGTAAAGCCAATTCAATCATAGACTTTGGTTTACTGATTCTGGAATCCAAAAGACAGTTCAATCCTGAAGAGGGCACAGAAGATGCTTTGTGCTTTTTACATTGATGGCTTTGAACAGAATCATTTGTGTCACAGACTCGCCAGAGAGGGTTTATATTTCAATGTTTCCCAGATTATTTCATTTAAATGTGCAATTTAATAATGGCACAAATAAAAAAAAAAACAACTTGTGCCTCTTAGCATGAAATCCAAAGTGAGATTGTACAAAGCAAAACCGAATGTTTTATTTAGATGTTACCACTCACCTTTATATGCTTGCAATTATCATTAATGCGATGTATTAAATACTGTGGGAACCATAACTTTGAATTTTGTGACTTTTATTTAAATATTCCAGTGCTTTTTAAAAAACTTGTAAGTTGACATGGCTGACTACATGTATGTCTTTACACATTTGCAGAACTTTTAATGAAGCATAAGAATGCAAACTTTCGGTTTAATAAACTACTGGAGAGAAAAAAAATTTAACTGCTCAGAAGTTCCAGATTATCTACTCTCTCCCCTTCCAGGATATATGTGAAATTCTGTGTATTAAAAAAAACCCGCAATAATTTAAATTTAAGGCCTTTCTATATTTTTAGAATGATTGTTGAAATGACAAAATAACCAACGTGATTTGAAAGATTCAATGACTTCTGCCCCGATATAAGTGTATAAGGTATCTGTTCATTAAATTGGGCAATACTAAAAATAAACTTGATTTCTCTAGAATTCAGTACATAGTGATTCATGTAAATACTGTACCAATCAATTTGGATTTAATTATTATGTAAATTTGTGTATTTTTTATTTCAAAATAAATATACTTGGTAACATTCATACTTGTGCTACTCTCCCAAGATTAGGCTATAATTGAATTAACACACTAATAAGCCAAGTCAATAAGTATTGCAATGTAAATTCATTTTTGTCCCTAGTTCTCCTTATAACATTGGGAAGGGAGAGAACTGCAGAATATAAGTGGATGTAAATTTCTCAACCACCAAGATGCAAAGTTATAATTTTTGGGAAAAACTTTTGAGTTAGATCCTTACATATTTTAGGTTTTCATTAACTTACCAATGTGGTTTTATTGGAGGCCATTTTTTATTGCAGACTTGAAGAGCTATTACTAGAAAAATGCATGACAGTTAAAAGGAAGTTTGCATGATACAAAAAAGGTAACTAAACACGTTTAGTTTGGATTTCAATCCCCACCTATGTAACCCGTTATCAAACATGTATACAAATCCATACATAAGCAGAGTTAAGCTCCTATTCGTCATTACTGCTATGTGCCTGAAAATATATCAGTGTCCTAACCAAGTGGGTCTAGAAAACCTTACTGAGGACGTTGGTATCCGAGACAGCTTTACAGGGCAGAAAATAGACAAATTTTTTTCTAATTCAAATCCCATTTATACCGTATTCAGCATTTCTTTAAAAATGGCCAAATGTTTGGTTCAAAATCAGAAAAGTAAACTGCCGTGAATTTTTTCTTTAGACCTCTTACGTGTCTGGAGTCGCTAGGTAATCCAACTTGGTTTATTCTTGGAAACCCTCCCTCTTTCCAGTCACTAGTTAAAAAACTAAAGAAAAAACACAGCAAGATGCTTGGTGCCACTTTTAAAAACCAATCACCTCCTTTGCAGATCCATCTGCTCCTCCAAAGCCCCAGGCCCCGCCCCCCCCACCCGGGAGCTCAGGCCTCGTGGTCAGCTCATCGCGGGGAGAAACAAAGGCCGCGGCGCGGGGGTTCAAGGGCACTGCGCCACGGGGCCCGCGCCTCCCCCGCCCGGCGGCGGCCACGTAACGGAGCGCCTGCCGCAGCCTCCGGACAGCGGGCCGCGCGCGCCACCAGGTCGCGCTGATGCGGGAGAATGCGCCTTCCCTGGAGGCCTCAGTCGCCGATCGAGCCCGGGAGGCGAAGGAGGGCCCCTCGTCTTGATCGGGCATGGGGGAGGGGAGGAAATGCGCTTTGTCTAGCAACAAGGCTGCTGTCGCCAAAGCTCTCTACCCGCTTAAGGACTGTCTCATCCGCCCAACAAACTACAGGCTCCGGCCCAGCGCCAGGCCCGCGGCGGGGTCTCCGCTCGCCTCTCCGATCCTTACCCACAGCTCCCCGCCTTTGGGGTCGGGTGGGGAAGGGTGGGAGCGGGGAACTGGGGGGTTCTCTGGGGCGCATCTTAAGCACCACCTCCGAGTGATCACTAGAGAGAAAGAAAGACACCGACTTCACCGCCTCCGAGCTGCTCCGGGTCTCCCGTCTGCTGCGTCTCCGGCCCTGCGCGCCTTCAGCTCGAGCCA